TACCACTCATATATATGGGTAAATAACGCCCTTACTCTTAGAGTAACACATTTACTCTTAGTACCATTCATGGGAGTATATAACACACTTTTTTTTATATAGTCCTGATAAGTACGTGACGCATTTTTTCTTCGTACCGTCCATATAGGTAAGTAGCGCGCTAACTTTTAGTACCATCCATATGGATACTTAACGTACATATTCTTCGTACCATCCATATGGATAAATAACGCGCCTACTCTTAGTATCATCCATATGGGTAACTAACGGATTAACTCCTAGTACCATTCATATAGGTAGAAAACGCCCTTACATTTGTTTTATCCGCATGGATAAGTTTTGCACTAATTATTAGTACCATCCTTATGGGTACGTAATGCAGAGGAACTAGCATGGAGGAGGCGCTAGCTGGACCAGATAGAGACAAATGGCTGGCGTAACGGGATGTTGAATACCAAAACCAGCTAGAGAATGGGACATGGGATCTGGTGGTGCTGTCTGAAGGGAAGAAAGCGGTACAGTGCAAATGGGAGCTATGGATTAAGACCGATAACAAGAGGCAGGTCACCATCTACAAGAGTAGGCTAAGGGGTTTCAGCAGAAGAAAATGCAGGACTTCAACGAGATCTACTGCCAAACCCCTTACACTACGTGTCTTGTTGGCAGATGCAGCCGTTAGTGGGAAATTCATCATTCAGATGGATATATCAACGAGATTTTAAAAGCGGAGGTGTACATGATGCAGCCGCCTGGGTATGAAAATGGTACGGGCAGGATGTGCAAGCTGAAAAAGTCCATCTACGGCTTGAAGCAGGCGCCACGCTACTGGTACCAGAAGTTGGCAGCTGTTTTGGAGGAACTGGGATTCAGGACCAGCAGCTGCTTTTCTCAAGGGGAAGAAGGAGAAGCTGGTGATGTTTTTGGTCTACGTGGACGACATTCTTCTCTTCAGCAGCAGCATAAAGGAGATCCAGGACGTGCAGCAGCAGTTGTTGGAGAATTTCAAGTGCAAGACCCTTGGGGAGGTAAAAACTACCTCGAGATGCACGTGGAGAGTGATGTAGAACCAGGATCACAGATGGTTAAAGCTGCACCAGGAGAAGTTCATCAAGGAGCTGGGGGAGAAGTATGGGATTGAGAATAAGCTCAAAGAAGCAACTCCCTTGCCAGCTGAATTCAAGCTTGTGAAGGCTGCAGAGGATGAAAGGGTTGAAGCCGAGGAGCAGCAGCATTTTCAGTCCTTGGTGGGCAGCCTCTTGTATGCAGCAGTTCACATGAGGCTCGACATTTCATTCTCGGTTGGGCAGCTGGCTAAGGTAGTGCAGAATCCATCAGAGGAGCAGGTGGATGCAGCTGAACGTGTGGTGAAGTATCTGAACTCTCACCCAAGCATTGGAGTTCAGTATTCTGCATCTGCACAGGTGAAGCAGAAAGGGGTTGAGGTTCTGATGGAGAAGGGGGAGAGGCTTCGAAAAGGCTAGCTCTTTCTTACTTACTTTACCGATGCTATTTGGGCTTCTAAGAAGGAGGATGCCCTTCTGTGGGAGGATATATCTGCGTGGTTGGGGGAGGACCTGTTAGTTGGAGGTCTAAGAAGCAAACAGAGACAGCACTTTCTTCGTTCCAAGAGTATATGGCGATGTTCCATGGAGTGAGGGAGGTGATTTGGCTGAGGAGGCTGTTAGAGGAGATTGGCCAGGAGCAAAAGGTCGTTACACCTCTCTTTTGTGACAGCATGGGGGCTCTTGGGATGGCCAGTAATGTTGTGCTTCTCGGGCTGAAGAAGCATATGCGTATAAAGTGGCACTGGCTGCGTAAAGAAGTGAAGAGGGGGACGGTAAATCCAATCTATATCAAGACTCACCAGCAGCTAATAGACTTCCTTACTAAGAGGCTTGCGAATGAGACTCATTGGCGTTGTTTGCGCATGAGTGGAATAAGCATGAACTAGCATGGAATGATGGAAATGCAGCCGGCAGGCTGAGGGGGAGTGTGTTGGGTGCAAATTCACTTTGCATGACATCCTACCACCTGTTTCTAGGAATATGCATATGACATCCTGCCACATGTTTGTAGGATTATGCGTGTGCGAATGCATTTGCATGTGAATGGTGTGTTCGTGTGTTCGTTTGCATTCACAATTTTCGTGTGAAGCATTCGCAAGTACCCGCGCAATGTGCGCTTCGGCACAACATTGTACGCGCTATGAACAGTGCAAGAAGAAAGGACGAGCTTGCAAAGGAACCCAAGATGGAAGCTTTGTAGTTCGGTTGATTTAAATTCGCATATTCAATTATATCCATCTCAAAATGTACTATTTTGTTTGGTTAATGATAGTATAGCAGGGCAGGCACTATAGGGGTACAATTAGGTGAAGGTTGGAGGTTGTTTGTCCGTATTTGCATGCCGCAGGCCCAGGGGAAACAAGCAAAACCAGAATTTGGCTGGTTGGGCAAGGACAAAACAGGTTCTGTTTTTGGAACCTGAACCTGGTTGTTGTTTTCCCAGGTTGGAAAAACAGAACCAGAGGTTATTTACCAACCTACCACCTGCTACTTTGTCCAGCCAGGTTGGTTCTGTTGCTTTGAATCAGTTGGGATCGTCCTTGTTTGTTCCTATGATGATTCCAATGGTTCTTGTTAGCTAGAGCAATTTAGCTTTTAAAGACCTTGGGAATCGACCTAGGAACAACCTAGGATGATAAAAAAAAAATCAACAAAATAATCCCAAATGAATTCCAACCTCCGTCTACACCTTTGACCTTCTCCAACCAGGCAGATCTATCCTCCAACCGTTGAGGAATCCTCCTTCTTGGAAGCCCAAGTAGCGTCGGCAAAGCTAGTGAGAAAGAGCTTGCCTTCTCAAAGCTTCTCCTCTTTCCCCCAGCTGCTTGATGAACTTCTCCTGGTGTAGCTTTAATCTCGATCAGGTAGTACTTTACCTCTACGTGCATGATCCCTCTCTACGTGCATCTCGAGGTAGTACTTTACCTCTCCGAAGGTCTTGCACTTGAAATTCTCCATCAGCTGCTACTGCACTTTCTGGATCTTCTTCATGCTGCTGCTGAAGAGAATAATATCATCCACGTATACTAGAACCATCACCAACTTCTCCCCCTCGCCCTAGAAAAAGAGGCTCTCATAATAGCTGCTGGTCCTAAATCCCATCTCCTCCAAAGCAGCTGCTAACTTTTGGTACCAGCCATACAGTTAAGTAAAGTTATTACTTTTAGTACCATCCCTACGGGTAAGTAACAAACTTACTCTTAGTACCGTCCATGTGGATAAGTAGCGCACTTTTTTTTTTCGTACCATCTATGTGGGTAGGTAACTCACTTATTTTTCGTACCATTGACATGGGTAATTCACACACTTATAATTAGTACCATCCATATGGGCAAGTAGTGCACTTACACTTAGTACCATCCATATGGGTAAGTAATGCACTTACTCTTAGTACCATCCATATGGGTAAGTAACTTACTTACTTTTCAAACCATCCATATAGTAAGTAACACACTGTTTCTTCGTACTATCAACAATGATAAGTAGCGCACTAACTCTTAGTACTATCCATATGTGTAAGCATCGCACTTTTTTTTAGTACCATCCATATGGGTCAGTAACAAACTTACTCTTACCGTATGAAAAAAAAAAAATTAGGGTGAACATGTACAAGACATGCAGTTTTGAAGTCCAGGGTACACTTATTTATATATTTAACTCATTGAAATTACCATCTATTGCTTGTTTACTGGGGGGGGGGGGGACTTTTATTTTGCATTTCAGAATCCCTCGCTTGAAGCATCACGAACGCGATGTCTGGGGTGACACGCGCCAAGCGACGAGGCACGGCGGAGGATTGTTGCCCAAATTTGGCGAACCGCCCCTACATCTTAACTGAACGGTCCCCCACCCTGCCCACGTCACCGTGAACAAGAGGGCTAGGTTCATTGGCTCCCGAATTGAGGGTTTGATGGCTTCAGGACGTGATGCGCGAGGGGAATCCCGTCCAGCAGTCTGCCGAGCACGTGAGTTGCTTCTCGTTAGCTTGTGTTAGTATTTCTCAAGTCTCTCTCAGATCTAGAGGGACTACTAATCACCATTCACAAGCACGCTTTGGGCATGCTTAGAGTAGTCCCGTAGAGAAGCACCATGGTGGCTTTGAAAGCCCATGGCGTACCCGCCGTTCAAGTCTTGGCAGTTTGTCCCATCAGCCGGCTATAGTGCTGACCACAAGCCCGTCACTGCCAGCACCACCTGCGCCTCCTGCGCCTCTTGCTCCCCCTATGCAGCCCCTGATTTTCATCGACCACTTTACGACCCCTTTGTTTGAACCACCCAGCGAGGGGTTTCCGGACGCCGATGACGAAGAAGTCGAAGAAGATGCACGCAAAGAGAACGATGACGACACGGAGCTCGATGTGGGGGACTTCTTGGTCCCGGTGTTTTCCAAGAATCTCGCCCACGAATAAAAGGGTCCCAATCACGGTCTTGACGGTGCTTCATCGAGCAGGCGCTGCCTCAGTGGGGGGGGGGGGGGGGGGAGGAAGGCAAAGTACCCGGAGATAGAGGATACCATATTAAAAAAACATCTCAACTTCCGCGGTCGTGGCCTCGCCGTCACCATCCGCCTCATCAAGCAGTGGAGTCGCTCGTACATAAAGTTACACTCCCGGATGTAAGGTGGATGGCGTCCCCAAGGTGGACGTTCCGTTTCCGTGCCCGCTTTGGCCTCACCATACGCGTGAAAATGAAGATGGGTCAGCGGCTTGCGAAGGGTAATTTTACGTGATGCGCAATTCCTCTAATTTGCTTGAAGCGCGGGATTTTCGTTTCCATTGTACGATGGAACATTAATGCATGTGTTGCCTTTGCTCTTGGCAGAATGCATGCCGAAGTGCGAGGCCTTTTGGGCCTTCGTACGGAATAACGTTATAAAATGGGGCATTGACCCATGGAACATTGTCAACGTCGACCAACGCCCGTTTTTTTTTTTTAATGCCATGTAAGCGGCTTCACCACCGCGGGGAGAAAACGGTGCATGTGCGGAGCGCGGGCTACGAGAAGAAGAGGATGAATGTCATGCTCGGCATCACTGCAGACGGTCGCAAGCTCCCCGCGATGATCACCTCCCGAAGGTCCGTGTACGTGCAGGTGAGGTTATCCATTCCAAGTCAGTAATGAACCTATGCATGTGAACTGATTGCGGCCGTTGTTCATGCATGGCAGGTGTCGTCGTCAAGGCGCAAGAGTGAGTGTGGATGGACTTCAAGCTCGTCGACGACTGGGTGAACCAGATATTCCTCCCGTTCATTAAACCTCCTATTGGCATCCGTCGGTCCAAGACCCTCCTGTTCTTCGATTCGTACCGGGGTCACCTTACGGTCCGCGTGTTCGCGAACCTGAAGAGGAACCAGGTGATTCCCGTCATCATCCCGGGAGGGGGGGGGGGGGGGGGCCACGCTGCAGCCTCTCGATGTGAGCGTGAACCGCTCGTTAAAGGCGAGGCTGCGTAATCTCTACAACAACTGGTTCGCCGATTTTGGCGTCAACACCTTCACGGCAGCAGATGCGGTGGGCACGGTACCGTCGCTTCGTTAGTGTCTAAACCGCTTTGACCCTCTATTGTGTGGCCCGTAGGGAACTTGAATAAGCCCCCGGTGGAGCTGGTCCTCAAGTGGATTGCAGGTGCCTGGGCGGCCATGCCCGAGCTTATCATCGAACGTGCCTTCTTCACCACCGGCATCAGCAACGTCATTGATGAGAAGCAGGATCACCTCATCTTGGCCTACATACGTGATGCGGGCCGATGATGTTCACACCTCTCTGAGGTGGAGGAGTGGGTGAACCCCCTCTTTGCCACAGCCGCTGAGGACACGGAGGCTGCTGTGGCGATGGATCACGAGGGTTGCGGGGGCCTGCCGCCAGAGGAGGCCAAAGAGGAGGAGGAGGAGGAGGAGGAGGAGGAGGAGGAGGAGGAGGAGGAGGAGGAGGAGGAGGAGGAGGAGGACGAGGAGCAGGAAAGAGTCGTAAAGAGTGCTCAATGAGATCCCGAGCCTAATGTATGTGTAAGGTTGTTGATGCCTAGGAATGAAACGATGATTAACTGCTGGCTCCCTAGGAATGTGAGGGAATTATTGCAATAGTTATGATATTCCTTGTCATAAACCATATACAGAGCTGTAGGGGTCTCATAATGATTAGGGGAAAAAGGGGGGGTCCTCACAAAATAATATCAATATAAGAGTCCCACTTCCCTACAGAGAGTCCCAGGAGACCCTTTTACCGGCGGATCCTATATCCGGGAGAATACTGTGAGAGTACGACAGCTAGCCTTACTTTTATTTACCTTATTATGCTTAATCTTGTTTGGTTTTATTTCCTTATGCATTCTTTTGCTCGTTTTCCTTAGAAACGATACTTACTATGATTTCTTATAGTTATAGCACCGTTCTAAGTTGCGTGCACCGAATTCTAGGCTTTTCGGTTGCCACCAAATTGCATTATACAGAATTCGCGAAGGACCAGTTTTTGAACACCCCTATAGTGCCTGCCTTGCTACACTATAGTCAACCAAACAAAACAGTACAATTTCGAGTTGGATATAACTGAATCTGCGCAGTCAGTTCAACCAAACCGCAAAGCTTCCATCTTGGGTTCCTTTGCGAGCTCGTCCTTTCTGCTTGCACTGTTCATAGCACGTACAATGTTGTGCCGAAGCGCATATTGCGCGAGTACCTGCAAATGCATCAAGCAAAAATTGCGAAAGCAAACAAACACACGAACATTCCATTCACACCCAAATGCATTCACACACGCATACTCGTACAAACAGACGGCAGGATGTCGTGCAATATGAATTTGCACCCAACACACTCCCCCTCAACCTGCCGGCTGCATCCCCATCATTCCATGCTAGTTCATGCTCATTCCACTCATACGCAGATAACGCCAATAAGGCTCATCCGCAAGCCTCTTGGTGAGGAAGTCTGCTGGCTGCTGGCGAGTATTGATGTAGATCGGATTCACCGTCCCCCTCTTCACCTCCTTACACAGCCAGTGCCACTTGATACGCATGTGCTTGTTCAGCCCATGAAGCACAACGTTCCTGGCCATCCCCAGAGCGCCCTTGCTATCACAAAACAGCGGCGTAGCAACCTTCTGCTCCTGGCCAATCTCCTCTAACAGCCTCCTCAGCCAAATCACCTCCTTCACCCCATGGAACATCGCCATGTACTCTGATTCCACAGAGGAGAGTGCCGTCTCCGTCTGCTTCTTAGACCTCCAACTAACAGGTCCTCCCCCAACTACGCAAATGTATCCTCCCACAGATGAGGAATCCTCCTTCTCAGAAGCCCACGTAGCATCAGTAATGCAAATAAGAAACAGTTTGCCATCTCGTTCAGCACCTCAACCCCTTTCTGCTTCACCTGTGCAGATGCGGAGTATTGAACTCCAATGGTTGGGTGAGAGTTCAGATACTTCACCACACGCTCAGCTGCATCCACCTGCTCCTCTGATGGATTCTGCACCACCCTTGCCAGCTGCCCAACCGAGAAAGAGATGTCGGGCCTCGTGTGAACCGCTGCATACAAGAGACTGCCCACCAAGGACTGAAATTGCTGCTGCTCCTCGGCTTCAACCCCTTCATCCTTTGCAGCCTTCACAAGCTTGAACTCTGCTGGCAGGGGAGTTGCAACCCATTCTATAGTAGACTCTGGTACTCAGCATCCCTAGAAGCCAGCCTCTTGTCCCTATCTGGTCCAGCTAGTGCCTCCTCCATGCTAGCTGGTTCCTCTGGTGCAGGGGCAAGAAAACAGTACGCAGGCTCGTCCTCCTCATCCGGGTCATAGCCTCCTCGGTCCCAAGCTGCTGCTCCGCTACTCCTAATCCCGCAGTCAGCTTCTTTGTAGCGATATGGGTACGTCCTGGCCTGGAGACGGGTGTCTCTCATCCCCTCATAACGACACCCTTCGGCTTCTTAGCTTTCCCCTGCTGTTGCTCTTCTCCCTCGGATCCAGCAGCTCCACTAGTGCTACCGCCAGTTTCCACACCATTTTCTCCACCAGCAGGTGCCTCCTGTACCTTCTCTCCATCACCATTCCCCGCAGCTGCCTCCTCTCCCTCCTCCCACACACTAGGAGTCAGGTCCAGCTGCATGGTAATCTGCTCCATCTGCTGGGACACCCGGGCCTCCGGCTGTTTCTCCCAGCTCCCATACATCATGCCCTCAATGAATTTCACATCCCTGCTGTCAAACAACACACCCTTGGATGGTTGCCAAAGCAGCCATTCCTTGCTCTCAGCAGCCAGCCCCAAATGTACACACCAGATTGCACTCGCCCCCAACTTATTGCGGTAGGTCTTGGGGACGTGGGCGACTGCCATGCAACCGAACACCCTCAGCATGTCCACCGGCGGCTTCCTCCCAAGCCACCTCTCCAAAGGCACCCACGAGTCATCCCCAACCTTGGTGAGCACCCTGTTCCTAGCGACGGTGGCGTGCCGGACAGCACGAGGCTACATAGAATTGCTCAGCCTAGATACTATGAGCAGCGCCCTAGCTGTCGCCAGAATGGTCCGGTTTGCCCGTTCTGCTACACCATTGGACTGTGGGGTGTAAGCCGTGGTCAGCTCCCTCTGGATGCCCTGCTTTTTGAGCCAGGCCGTCATTTCAGCTCCAAGGAACTCACCACCCCGGTCTGTCCTAATCCGCTTCACTACACACTCCACCTGCTTCTCCACGAACGGCAGCCAATCGTCCCGAATCGTGGAGGCGGTGTGGTCCTTCAGCCTTAGTCATCAACAATTGTAAGGAAATACCGCTTCCCCTTGTGCCCTTGCACCGGCAGCGGCCCCACCAAGTCCATGTGGACCAGCTCCAAAGGCTTCTTGCTCCTGCCAGCGACACTATGAAAAGGGAAACGGGTGAACTTTGAAAGCAGGCAAATTTCACAGTGATCATCGTATGGCTGTCCGTTCAGCTTCAAGCCCTTAACGGCTCCATCATTCTCCAGCTGCTTCAGCAAAAGCATTGCCACATGCCCCAAACGTCGGTGTGCCGTTGCCCAATCTGTCTCCCCAGATCTGGCCAACACTTTCACGCCAACCTCCCCAATGGCGTTGCACTCCCCTTGTGATGCAGACCCCTCTCTAGCATGCCCCCCACCGTGCCACACCAACGCCGGCAGCTGCGACATGGATCTGTACACGTCCTTGCTCTCGTGCAGATCCCAAAGCACCCGGTTGCCCAGCTGCCCCTTGTACGTGCGAGCCCCATCCGTGCTAGTGCTCACCCCAGCCTTGGCAAGCTTACGGAGGGAGATGAGGTTGGCCTTGAGGTCGGGGACGAGGAGAACGTCGTGCAACACCCCCGGCTTGCCACGCAACTCGTCCCGCACCAGCCACCTTCAGCGCGTGTCCAGAGGCGGAGCACACCTCGTTAATCGGTGCAGCGCGTACGTCGTCCAGCAGGTCTTTGCGCGGCGTCATCGTCCAAGCAGCGCCCGTGTCCAACACCCAATAGTCCAGGGGGTGAAGTGCGGAGATAACTACTACAACGGGAGCTAGACTACGGGCTAGGCACGGGTGCTCGTATGATCTCTGCGTTCACTTGTTCCTTAGTCGTTTCCAAGTGCTCACACTACTTGCTAGTTCACAGGGAGAATTGGCAAGAGTTTCACTAGGAAAGGTTGACAGCAAATGGTACAATGAAGTTGGCAAGACTAGACTACATCAGAGCTAGCATGCAAGCAAGTCTACTGCCAGCGCAGCACGGTCGACCGCGTGCCAGCACGACTTGGTCGACCGCGCTCCAGCAGTGCCAACGCTGCAAGTCGACGGCGTGCCAACGTCGCAGGTTGATGGTGTGCCAACGTTGCTCCCGCAGGACAGCAGCGCACCCGCTTCGCAGGTGCTCGCAGATGATTGGCGTGCAGTGCCTCGTCACCTGCACAGCGCACACACCAAGTCAACCTGGCGCTGACAACTGCATCTGATCAGCCACGTCGACCTCGGGATACTACCACCGAGGTCGGACTCGCTAACTTCGCCTGGGCGACCGTCGCACTCCTCCGCAGAACCTCGTCACCCAGGTAACCTGGTCGACCGGGCAACCACGTCGACCAGCTGCTCCTGTATGTGCCGGTCGACCTCCCAAGTCGACGGCCACCTCCAGTCGACCTCCCCAGGTCGACCACTATGTTCGGTCGACCACCAGGTCGACTTCACGCCTGGTCGACCAACCACCAAGTCGACCAGAAGGCCTGGTCGACGTACCAGGTCGACCAGAAGGCTTGGTCGACCAACCAGGTCGACCAGAAGGCCTGGTCGACTTACCAGGTCGACCAGAAGGCTTGGTCGACCAACCAGGTCGACCAGAAGGCCTGGTCGACTTACCAGGTCGACCAGAAGGCTTGGTCGACCAACCAGGTCGACCAGAAGGCCTGGTCGACCAACCAGGTCGACCAGAAGTTCTGTCAGCCGACCACCCAAGTCGGCTACCCCAAGTTGGCGTCACCAAGTCGACGCCCTCCGCAGGTCAGCTTCCCAGGTCGACCTTCCTGAAGTCGGCGCCATCCTGAAGTCGGCGCCCATGCAGTGGCACCCGTGCAGGTCGACTTCCTCGTCGACCAGCTCGCCCACTGCTGCAGGTCGGCTGCACCCCTACACCCGACCACAAAGTCGGCTCCGCCCAAGCGAGGACGGGGCCAACACACAACTCCCGTTGACACTCCCCTGCCGCGTTCACGCTTGGGCCCCCAGCCCACACGGCAGTACTTCTTTGAAAAAAGCTTGTCGACGTGCACCCAACACACATCACGTCGTCCAACGCACCAGCCATGCAAGAGGGCATGGCACCTACTGCTGCACGTCGTCGTCGCCCACGTCGGCCAGGCGCACTTGGCCGATTGCAACGGAGCACCGGTTGAAGGCCGGATAGTGCAGTGCCTTCATAAAGAAGTCGGCCGGCTGATTAGCAGTCGGGATGTACTGCAGCGAAAACTTCCCCCGCTTCACCATGTGCTGCAGCCAGGCCTGTCGCCGCTCCATGTGCTTGAGGTTGCCTGTCAACCCCATGCCCTCGACGACTATGATAGCCGACTTGTTGTCCACCTGGAAGACCGTCGGCTTCCCAGCATCCAGCTGCCGGAACTCTGCCAGGAGGAAGCGAAGTCGGCGTCCCTCCTTGCCGGCTTCGACGGCCGCCACGTACTCCGACTCAGTCGACGACAGCGTCGCGCACTTGATGCGCTGGCTCGACCAGGAGACCGCGGCCCCTCCGTAGACGAACACGTAGCCACCCGTGCTCGTCCGGTTCTGCTTGTCGCCGGCGTCGTCGGCGTCCACGTAGCCGACTAGCTCCAACGACTCAGGTCCACCGCCGAACTCCAAGGCGGTGTCACGCGTGTTGGCGAGATAGGCAAGGCAGCGGTCGACCTCGCGCCAGTGCTGGTCGCTCCTCACCGTGAGTCCGCTCCCCAGCTTGCTGCAGGCGAAGGCGATGTCCGGCCTCGTCGTCGTCGCCGCGAACTGCAGCGAGCCGACCTTCTACCGGTACTCCTCCTCCTGGCGCTCCTGCGCCTCCTCGTCGTCGAAGGTGAGCTCGGCGTAGGCGTCGACCGAAACGGGCGTCTTGGGGGTGCGCCCGGTCTGCTCCTGGTCGAGGAAGCGCCTACGCAGCTTCCTCGCCGACACGTCGCCAGCCCGATGTACTTTTGCACCGGCGAGATCTCGCGCAGCTCGAAGGCGGCCTCCAGCAGCTCCTTCAGCTCTTTCAGCATCGCGGGGCTGCTGCTGGCGGCGAGCAGGTCGTCGACGTAGACCAGCACCCAGCAGGTCACCTTGTTGTCGCCGACCTTGAAGTAGAGGGCCTCGTCGACCTGGCTCTTCTTCCAGCCAGCGCCGACCAGCACGTCGTTGAGAGCCTTGTACCACAGCAGCGGCGACTGCTTCAGCTCGTAGAGGCTCTTCAGCAGCTTGCACACCCGGCCGGTCCCGTCATTGAAGTAGTCCGGCTGGTACATGTACAGCACGCGGTCGAGCTTGCTCTGCAGGAAGGCATTCTTCATGTCGAGCTGCATCAGGTTGAGGTCGAGGATGGCGACGATGCTGAGGAAGATCCGCAGCGTGACGTAGCTGCTCACCGGCGCGTACGTCTCGTCGTAGTCGGCGCCATACACCTGCGTGAAGCCCTTCACAACCAGCCTCGCCTTCTCGCGCTCGACGGTGTCGTCGATGCGGTACTTCGTCGTCAACACCCACCGGTTCTTCATGATGTTCACTCCAGGTGGGCGCTCGACCAGCTCCCAAGTGCCCATGTTGATGAGGCTGCGGATCTCCTCCTCCATGGCGGCCTTCACCGCCAGGCCCTTCCAGCTCGCCAAGGCCTCCTTCACCGTCATCGTCGAGATGTCACAGCGGCGCTCAGGGTCGGCTTGCATGTCGGGGTCGAGCTCCAGAAACTCCTCATCCTCCTCGGCCTCATCGTACGCCAGGTCGTCGGCGTCCACGTCGTACACCGTGTTGAAGGCAGCGGGGACTAAGAAATCGGGTGGCCTCCGAAGCCGACCTGACTTCCGGGGTTCAGGCAGAACCTCCACCACGTCACTCGTAAGGGACTCCTCGGCGTCCTCCCCCTCGTCGTCCTGCTGCAGCTCCGTCGACTTCCTGGCCGACTCCTCCCCTGTGGTCGGCTCCCCTGCCGACCGCCCGGTTGCCGACTGCTCCGTGGTCGGTTTCACTGCTGCCTGCTCCCCTGTTGGCTGCTCCTCCTCAACCTGCTCGACCTGCTCCTCCTCAACCTGCTCGACCTGCTCCTCCTCAACCTGCACTCCCACGTCGACTTGCCGCTCGTCACGTCGGCCACCGGCGATGCTCTTGGCCGCAGGCGACGTCCCACTACTCCCCTCATCGCCGGAGGCCGACACCGGAGTCAGTCCACGCAGGTCGGCCACGAGGGGAGAAACATGGGTCGTGGGAGGAGGGGAAGGAGGATGGTCGACCTCGATGTCCCCAGCAGCGAGCTCACCGACCTCCGCGAGCAGAGGCAGCGTCGCCTGCGAGGTGTCGGTTGGCGGGGTGGTCGGTGTCCGTCCTGACACCGGCCCGTGCTCCGACTTCCACACCTCCAGCGACATGTCCTCGTAGAACACCACGTCCGACGTGGTGACCACTCGGTTGTCAACGATGTCGAGGAGCTCCCAGCCCTTGCGCGCATCCGACACGCCAAGGTGAAGGCCCCACTTGGCCTTCGGCTTCAGCTTCCCACCACGCTGCTGCTCGGGGACGAGGAACTGCGCCATGCAGCCCCACACGCGTGCCAGCGACAAGTCGGGCTTCTTCCCGGTGAGCAACTGGTACGGTGTCGTCCCCGGCGTCGCCGACCTCTCCAGGCAGTTGCGGACCCAGACAGCGTGCTGCAAACCAAGGTGCCACCAGTGGTTCTGGACGCCCATGTGCAGCAGCATCGTCCGCACCGACTCCACCACCGTCCTCATCTCCCGCTCCGCCATGCCGTTCTGCTGCGGGGTGTACGGGCAGGTAAGGTCGTGGACGATCCCCTTCCCGTCCACGAAGTCGGTGAACTGCTTCCCGAGGAACTCCCCTCCCCGGTCGGAGCGAAGCATGAGCACCGACTTCTTCGTCTGCCTCTCCACCAACACCAGCCACTTCTGGAACTCCAGCAGCACATCCGACTTCTTGGCGACCGGCCTCACCCACACATAGCGGGTCTTGCGGTCCTTCAGCAGCAAGAAGTACAGGCTGCCATCCTTGGCGGCCACCCGGAATGGCCCGCACAGGTCGATGTGCACGATGGATAGCACATCGTCGGCGTCGGAGCCCTGGTCGGGGAAGGTGTGCCGCGCCAACTTTCCGCCGACACACGAGACACACGGTGAGTCGGTGCCCGACGTCGACTTGAGGTCCAGCCCAGTGGCGACCTCGTGCTTCGCTGAGCTCAGGATGGTGTCCATGCCGACGTGCGCCAGCCGTACGTGCAGCCTGTTCGGCGTCGTTTTCGTCGCCGAGACGATCGCCCGCAGGGCCACGGCCTCCGTCCTGGTCGACGTCGACCTCGTTGAGCAGGGACGCAGGTCGGTGCAGAGGACTCGCCCGGTGTAGGACGCCCGGCCGAGAACGTCTCCCGCCGCTGAGACGAGCAACATCCCGTCGCCGTCCTCCTGCAGCTTCACGCCGCTCTCCTTCAGCTGGCCGGCTGAGAGCAGGTTCGCCCGTACACCCGGGACGTACAGTACGTCGGGGATGAGCACCTTCTTTCTGGCCTCCCCTTGCAGAGCGACAATGTCACGACCCTGGACGTCCTGCAGCGCCCCATTGAAGCCGCGCACGTGCTTCACGTCGCCGCTCGGTCCCAAGTCGACAAAGGCGTCCTTCGTCCCCATCAGGTGGTGGGAGCAGCCACTGTCGAGCAGGACCACCGCCGGATTAGCCTGCACAGCTGCCGCCACCGCCTGGAAGTCCTCGCTGGCCTCCGGCGCCAGCGAGACGGTCGGCTCCACGACGCCGACCAGGGAGCACGACGCCGACTTGTCGTCACGCCCTTTTCCGCCAGCAGAGGAGTCGGCGTCCTTCGCCGAGGTCGACGACTTGGTCGACTGCTTCTCCTTGCACGGCTGGTTTCCTCCTCGACGAGGACGACGACTGCCAGACCTTCCACGGCCTCCCTTGGCGTCGTCGTCGTCGGAGTCACCGCGGTCGGGGCACTCGAAGGAGAGGTGGTCGGGGTCACCGCACAGCCAGCACTCTCGACGTCGACTTCCTCCTCCTCGACCACTGTCCTTGGTCGACTTCTTCTTGTCGACTTCCTTGGCCGGCTTCGAGCCACTGCTACCACCACTTCCAGACTGTCCACGCTGCCCTGGTCGACCGCCTTGCTTCGCCGGGGCGACGTAGTTTACCTGCGCCAAGAGCTCTTGGGACCGCTCGGCCTCCTGCATTGCCTCGTCCTGCAGGATGTACGAGGTCAACGTGTCCTCGTTGAGCGTCGCCCGTGTGCTCGGCGCCATCGACAGCCGCTTCAGGAGGCTGTAGCAGCTCGGGAGTCCCTGCATGACATGGGTGACGTACGACGCCGTCGAGTACTCCGCGCCGGCCATCCTGATGGTGGCGAGAATCCGCCGAGCTCGGTTGCAGTAGTCTGTCGCCGTCTCCTGGTCGCCCATACGCAGGTGCGTCAGCTGCCCCTCCAGCTGGGCGATGAACAAGTCATCGGTGACTTGGTAGGTCGACTCGATGAAGTGCCACAGCCGGTGGCCGGCGTCGAGGTGCTCCCTGCACGACTTCAGGGTGAAGGTCAGCAGCTGCACGGTGCGAAACTCCGCACGCAAGTCGGGGTCCTCCGGCGTCGCCACGGTACCGCGAGCAAAGTTGATCAGCCCGGCCATCTCCAGCTGGGGCTCGATGGCTTCCTTCCAGGTGAGAATGTCGGGTCGACCGACCAGCAGGGGGGTGACCGAGATCCTGTCCGGCAAGAACTTGAAGTAGCCATAGCTCGGTGCAATCCCGCCTGCTGTCACCTGGGTCGCCGACATCGGCGAAGATCCACTTCGTCGACCTCCGACGTCACCCTGCGAGGAGCCTGCAGCCGCCGACGACCGCATCCCTCGCACCTGAACGCCGCCGACTTCATCGGCGTGAATCACACCACGCTGCCTCGACGACGTGCCTCCCGCACTGCTGCCGACTTGGTCACCGGCGTTGACGCCCACGTCGACGCCGCCCTCGGTGTTCACCAGTCGAGGAGATGCAGGCCGAGAAGGAGGGTGCTCCGTCGCCCACACGGAGCGGATGCCAGCCTCGACGACCGCCCAGGGGAGGTCGCCGAACTCCTTCGCCTCATGACGTCTCCTCGCGCTCTCCAGCCGTGCCTCTAGGGTGTCCACCACCCCCGTGTCACCTACGGCGCCTACCATAGTGACTACTGCACAGCTGCCGGCCTACGAACAACTTAGGCAAGGCGCAACTAAGTCGACTAGACCGAAAGGTAAGTTGCGTGTTCGCTCCACGCTCACCGCACCATGCGGAGATAACTACTACAACGGGAGCTAGACTACGGGCTAGGCACGGGTGCTCGTATAATTTCTGCGTTCACTTGTTCCTTAGTCGTTTCCAAGTGCTCACACTACTTGCTAGTTCACAGGGAGAATTGGCAAGAGTTTCACTAGGAAAGGTTGACAACAATGGTACAATGAAGTTGGCAAGACTAGACTACATCAGAGCTAGCATGCAAGCAAGTCCACTGCCAGCGCAGCACGGTCGACCGCATGCCAGCACGACTTGGTCGACCGCGCTCCAGCAGTGCAGAGTCGCGGCTTGCCAACGCTGCAAGTCGACGGCGTGCCAACGTCGCAGGTTGATGGTGTGCCAACGTTGCTCCCGCAGGACAGCAGCGCACCCGCTTCGCAGGTGCTCGCAGATGATTGGCGTGCAGTGCCTCGTCACCTGCACAGCACACACACCAAGTCAACCTGGCGCTGACAACTGCATCTGATCAGCCACGTCGACCTCGGGATACCACCACCGAGGTCGGACTCGCCAACTTCGCCTGGGCGACCGTCGCACTCCTCCGCAGAACCTCGTCACCCAGGTAACCTGGTCGACCGGGCAACCACGTCGACCAGCTGCTCCTGTATGTGCCGGTCGACCTCCCAAGTCGACGGCCACCTCCAGTCGACCTCCCCAGGTCGACCACTATGTTCGGTCGACCACCAGGTCGACTTCACGCCTGGTTGACCAATCACCAAGTCGAACAGAAGGCTTGGTCGGCATACCAGGTCGACCAGAAGGCTTGGTCGACCAACCAGGTCGACCAGAAGGCCTGGTCGACTTACCAGGTCGACCAGAAGGCTTGGTCGACTTACCAGGTCGACTAGAAGGCTTGGTCGACCAACCAGGTCGACCAAAATACCTGGTCGACTTACCAGGTCGACCACAATGCTTGGTCGACCAACCAGGTCGACCAGAAGGCCTGGTCGACCAACCAGGTCGACCAGAAGTCCTGTCAACCGACCACCCAAGTCGGCTACCCAAAGTTGGCGTCACCAAGCCGACGCCCTCCGCAGGTCGACATCCCAGGTCGACCTTCCTGAAGTCGGCGCCATCCTGAAGTCGGCGCCCATGCAGTGGCACCCGTGCAGGTCGACTTCCTCGTCGACCAGCTCGCCCACTGCTGCAGGTCGGCTGCACCCCTACACCCGACCACGAAGTCGGCTCTGCCCAAGCGAGGACGGGGCCAACACACAACTCCCGTTGACACTCCCCTGCCGCGTTCACGCTTGGGCCCCCAGCCCACACGGCAGTACTTCTTTGAAAAAAAGCTCGTCGACGTGCACCCAACACACAGCACGTCGTCCACCGCACCAGCCATGCAAGAGGGCATGGCACCTACTGCTGCACGTCGTCGTCGCCCACGTCGGCCAGGCGCACTTGGCCGATTGCAACGGAGCACCGGTTGAAGGCCGGATAGTGCAGTGCCTTCGTAAAGAAGTCGGCCGGCTGATTAGCAGTCGGGATGTACTGCAGCGAAAACTTCCCCCGCTTCACCATGTGCTGCAGCCAGGCCTGTCGCCGCTCCACGTGCTTGAGGTTGCCTGTCAACCCCATGCCCTCGACGACTATGATAGCCGACTTGTTGTCCACCCGGAGGACCAACGGCTTCCCAGCATCCAGCTGCCTGAACTCTGCCAGAAGGAAGCAAAGTCGGCGTCATTCAGGTGACGATTCTGGGGGGTCCATCCATCGGGTTTCTTATAGCACAAAATCCTGGGGTGTCCCTCCTTCTCACAATTCCAGCAACTCCCTTTCATTTTGCCACCAGCACTTGACTTGCCCCAACGTCCAGATTTTGCACCGCGACCCCAACCGGTACCTCCTTGTTGGTCGTTGGAGTCGTCGTCCTTCTTTGCACCGCGTCCAGCACCACCGAAGCCACGTCCTCTGCCACGTCGGTTCCCTTGCATCCCGTAGCCGCTGCTGCCATCGTCTCCACCCCTCAGTTGGCGGCGATGGAAGTCCTCCTCCAGAATCTTCGTCCGCACCCACTCGAGCGTCCACAAGCTCTGGTTCTGCGGCAGGCTCAATCCGCTCGTGAATTGAAGCCACGATTCCGGCAGCAGCGAGAGCATCTTCAGGCACTTGGTCTGCTCCGGGTAGGTGATTCCCGCGGTTGCCAACTTCGCGTAGAGGTCGCGCATCTTATCCAGAACTGGTTGCAGCGGCTCTCCCTCGCTCAATCGCAACGCGGACAGCTCCCTCTCCATCATGAGCGTTGCGGCGACGGAGGTAGGAGCGTGCAGCTCCTTCAGCACGGTCCACGCCTTTGGACCACAATCAACCTCCAGCAGCAGGTGCATGACGTGGTGACGCTGGTTCAGCTCCAAACTCTGCGACATCAAATAGTAGCCAGCCGAGGCGTGCTCGTCCCAATCTTCCTGCAGCGCGGGGTCACTCGGTCTAGGCTCTTCCCCAATCAGTAGTCTCAGCAATCCAATCTGACAGAAGTAAAGCTGCATTTTCCAGGCCCAATCATCATAGCCCTCACCATTAAACTTCTCGACGGTGAAGTTTTTCAGCACCTCCTTGATCAGCGAGCTCTGGTTGGTTCGCGCTCCCCTTGGCGCCGAAACACCAGAATCTTGGCTGCCGCTATGATCTTGGGCTGAAGATTCACCAGCTCCCGCCGAGGTGTTGCCCGCCATAGCTACCTATAACGAGGATCACTATAACGCAGCTCTGATACCAGCTTGTTGGTGAAAGGGCCTAATAAACTCAGGCTATTAAGACTTAATCAAACTTAATACCTCTCCTCGGGGTCACCTCCAAGGGTCCCTGGGTGCCTGGTACAAGACCAGCCCCTATCCTCGGGTCCGAGTTTGTAGAGAGAGGAGTCAAGAATGACTTAGCCAAAATAACAAGAGTACCTTGAACATCGCGCAGCGTGCCGTGCAGACCGTCGATCGGATAAAGCTGAGAATGTGCTATATCGAAGCTCGCTCTAAGAGCTTTAAAATAAGCCAAGTTGCATCGCGAAAAGTTCTGCCATTACGAAGTTATGGCTCGAACAGCGTTTGCCTAGCGTTGGAGTGCTAGCATACTAGCGTTGACTCGGGTAGCATTCCGCCGTCGAATAGCGCAGAAACGAAACTCCAGCGAGGAAGGAATTCGCTTGAATCAATTGACTATATTCAGGTACAAACAGAGAAGGATTAAATAGTTCTAGCTAGCAAGGACCTTGGGAATCAACTTGGGAACAACCAGGGATGATCCCAAATAATTCCAAGCAACAAAACCAACCTGGCTGGACAAAATAGCAGGTGGTAGGTTGGTAAACAACCTCTGGTTCTGTTTTTCCAACCTGGGAAAACAACAACCAGGTTCAGGTTCTAAAAACAGAACCTGTTTTGTCTTTGCCCAACCAGCCAAATGCTGGTTCCACTGGTTTCCCCTGGCCCTGAAGCATGCAGATACAGACAAACAACATCCAACCTTCACCCAAATTGTACCCCTATAGTGCCTGCCCTGCTACACTATAGTCAACCAAACAAAACAGTACAATTTCGAGTTGGATAGAACTGGATCTGCGCAATCAATTTAACCGAACCGCAAAGCTTCCATCTTGGGTTCCTTTGCGAGCTCGTCCTTTCTGCTTGCACTGTTCATAACGCGTACAATGTTGTGCCGAAGCGCATATTGCGCGAGTACCTGCAAATGCATCAAGCGAAAATTGCGAAAGCAAACAAACACACGAACATTCCATTCACACCCAAATGCATTCGCACACGCATACTCGTACAAACAGACGGCAAGATGTCGTGCAATGTGCATTTGCACCTACCCAGCAGGACGTATACAGATCCATGTGGCAGCTGCCGGCGTTGGCGTGGCACGGTGGGGGGCAGGCTAGAGAGGGGTCTGCATCCCAGGGGGAGTGCAACGCCGTTAGAGGGGGTGGCGTGAAAGTGTCACTTAAATCTGGGGAGACGGATTGGGCAACGGCACACCGACGCTTGGGGCATGTGGCAATGCCCTTGTTGAAGCAGTTGGAGAAGGATGGAGCCGTTAAGGGTCTGAAGCTGAACGGACAGCCACCCGATGATAA